CTATTTATGTATAGTGACATCTATGCAGAAACTGATTTACATTCCCTACCTCAAAACATAACGGTCTTTTGTAAGGGGTGTTAACGTACTCATAAAGTTCTAGTGTCAAGCTGATAATAGTTAACAATCACTCATAAAATAAATAATGCATGCTTGGCTGCGAGGGAACAGACAATTTAAAGTATGAACTAGTTTTGAACCACTGTTTAGCAAACCCAACACAACATGACCTTAATTCTCGCATGTAAGCTTAATATCGCCAGATTATCGAGATGATTTTTTTGCATTTTTTTAATTAATGAAAAAGTCATATGTAGTTTTATTAATTTACTACTAATGATACACACAATTGTTTTGTTGGTGGTCGTACTGAAAGCATTTTTTTTTTGGCTTATTTGCTTATTCCCACAAAATGGTAAAAGTTTGTGACTATTTGTCCGGGTTTGTCGTCGTCGTCATTGTCGTCATTGTCGTCGTCGTCATTGTTGTCGTCTTCGTCGTCCTCGTCCTCCTCCTACTCCTCCTCGTAGTCGTCGTCGTCGTCGTCCTCCTCGTCCTCGTCCTCCTCCTCCTCCTCCTCCTCCTCCTCATCATCATCATCATCAGCATCCTCATCATCATCATCATCATCATCATCATCATCATCATCATCATCATCATCATCATCATCATCATCATCATTCATAAATCATTCATTACAAGTTAATTTTTAAATATTTCTATATCAATATTATAATTATTGTTTTTGCTAGTCTTAGTAGTAATAGTAGCAAGGTCAGGCTACTCAGCATTCATAAATTGATGGATACTGTTTACTATTAAATTATTTTTCAGAACAAAGACAATTGTGATCCTCAATGTAAAGGTAATAAAATAACATAAATGAATACACAAATTAATTATTTATTCAATAAATTTATGGACGAATGCATGAATGAATAGATCAATGAATGGAAGGATTAATGAATGAATGAATAAATGAATGAAACAATTAATTAAGTAAGTGAATGAATGAATGAATGAATGAATGAATGAATGAATGAATGAATGAATGAATGAATGAATTAACTAGTTTAATGATTCACTTCTCGATTTTTCGATTAATCAATCAATACACTGTTGAATGAATACATGAGTTAAAACATGAAATAATTCATGAATTATCAAATTACTTGAAACAAAAAGAGGAAGAATATAATAAGGGCTTAGTTCTAAAGTATCCGTAAAACTAAATTATACAATCACTATTTGAAAAAAGTATTAGATACGAACAATCAATCTTCCTCTACAACTCCGAAAAGCGCTTCGGACGCATGATATTATTAAACGTGTTGTTTTCAATTTTTACATCACTGGGTCGATACCTCTGCTGGTGGACTATCAGTCCCCGAGGGTATCATCAGCTCAGTAGTCAGTACTTCGGAACTGACATGATTTATAACAAACTTTTCTAAAACTGCCCGTTTATAAATTTTGAAATTATAAAGAAACTAAGGTTTCAACTCCCTCAGGCAAAGTTGACCTTAGATGGATTTGGCTATTTGTTTTAGGTATTTTTGTCATATAGCTCTTCAACTGTTTCGGTACTTATACATCCCTCGGATTTCAAATGTTTGGCTTTGAGCGTTCCTGATGAAGGTAAATCCAGAAAAGCGCGTCGGACGCATGAAATTATTAAACGTGTTGTTTTCAATTTCTACAAATTATTGAAAAATTTTCTCCATAACCATCATCTAAAATAAGGTTGCACTCGGGTGCTCCTCCAACGACGGTGCAACACTTTGATTTTGATTGTCTTACCCTGTTAATTTAAAAAAAATGGCCCGGACGGGATCGTGAATGTAAGAATATTTGTGACAATGTTAACGCTACTACAACAAAGTTATATAAAATACTAGAATATCAAAACTGTAACATAGGTCTTCAACAATTTCCTAGTCTACGTACCATTGGTATGAGCCATATGCCCATTTGAAAAAAAAATAATTTAAGATGAAGGAGAACAATCAAAGAGCTCCGATCTAAACTAACAGTCGAAAAAGAGTATAACAGTGTCTGCCAGTAAAACAAAATGGTGTTATATGCGTGTGTTTGTGCATAACCTGTAACTATTAATTCTTTGTAAATATATTTAAGCCTTCTCTCCCTTCATCGTGGGCAGTTTGTTTCATCCATGTAAATAATACTAGTCTAGTAGTTACCAAATGAAAATACAATTTGTTTGTTCATTATCTAGAAATTTTTCATAGTCGTATTTGGCGTAAACTTTTCAAAAGGTTTGGATTTTTAGGCCCTTTAACGTCGTGTTTGAATCTACTACTCTGTTTTGATTTTGCGGAACTGATGTAAACGAGTATCTGGAGTACCAAATTATAAGACTAGTATCTTTGAAGTTTTTTTACCTATCTGTACAGATAAAAACATGTTTTATTCAAATTTAAACGAATTTTTAAGAGACATCTGTCCACCTATCTTGAAATAAAAAAGACTGAAGAGAAAATTCGGAAAAATAAACATATATATATATATATATATTTATCTCGGATGGGAGTTACTTTGCTACTTCTGGTTTTCGTAATTGTACTTCCAAATCATACGTCACTGCAGACTAATTCTTAAAGATAGTATCTATATATATTTCATGAAATAAATGCAACATTGCTACCTTTGGTTTTCGGAAAGTTACTGTTGATTTACCTATTATAAGCTTAGATGTCTTCCAATCTTATAACATCAGTCGTATTCTTTATAAAATTACAAATTCTTAAAGTTAAAAATTCTTTAGAGGTTTTAGATTAAATACGTGCTTTTGGTGGTTCTTTTCGTTCTGTTCACAGTTATGATTTTTCTACTCTCTACACTACACTTCCAAACAATCTTATCAAGAAAAAGTTTTCATATTTAATTAAATATTCTTTTGGAAAATATCATTCCAAATTTATTTGCTGTAACTCGTTTAAAGCCTTTTTCTGTAATGAAAAAAAAAGTATGCTAGATACACCTACTGGAAATATGAAGATATGATTGAAGCTTTAAATTTTCTCATGGACAACGTATATGTACGTTTCGGCGATAAAGTGTATCGACAGGTTGTAGGTATTCATATGGGCACTAATTACGCCCCTTACATAGCATATTATACCTGTATTGCTATGAATCTCAGTGTATGACCAAACTCAGTAAAGACACGTCATTGTTACATTTGGTTGATACATTCAACAATACCTACCTTTATCTTGATGATATTTGTTCGTTAAATAATCCAGAGCTAACTAAATATACTACCGAAACTTACCCAAAGGAACTTACTTTAAATAAATCTAACATAAACAACAGTAGTTGTCCTTTTCTTGATTTAGGCATTTCAATTTCTAATGGGAAACTCCATACTAAAATTTACGACATAAGAGACGATTTTTTATTCCTCATTGTTAATTTTCCTTTTTTAGACGGCGATGTTCCTTTGGCTCCATTATACGGTGTTTCTATATCCCAACTCGTTTGTTTTGCCCGTGAGTGTAGTGATGTCATAGATTTTAACGAGCGTAATCAATGCATCACTCGTAAATTATGAAGTCAGGGATTTCGTTACTATAAATTACTTAAAACTTTTACTAAATTCTCTCATAGATACAATGATTTGATTAGTTAATTTGGCTGTAGCTGTAGAAAACTTATTAAAAACGGTATTTCACATCCTAAATTTTACGGTTATATTGTACTAAAACCGCAGAAATCACTATGTGATCCGTGTGAACTCTTCGAACTTTTAAAGAAACTTATCAATGTTGTAATTAGATCTTTGAATATAGTTTTCATTGGCACAAATATCGATTTTTTCATCAACAAATTAATACATAACTAAATTGTATTCTTTTCAAATGTGTTTTTGTTTTGTTTTTTTTTTGGAAGGGGGATATATAAATACACATCCACGCTCATTTTCTATATAGAGATTGCTTTATCTATATATAACATTAAACATATTTATTAAAATGTTAAGTCCTAACTTATGCTATGAATATCCTACTGCCTGTCGATACTCTTTTTTTTTGGCATTGCACAAGTCATGTCTTCTTTGACTGTCCATGACGTTAAAACACAAAATCCCTGGCATGACATTTAGTTGATTTTAGTTTCTGAGTCAAGATTTTTTTATTATTAATTGTTTTTCTTTTTGCTTTGAACTAGCTGTCAGTAACTGCCAGTAGTCTCAAATCGTACGTTCGTGTTTATTTGACCTGTTGATGCAATTTGTAATGCATTTTTGTTATTCAATGTTTACTTATTTTGTGGTATATCTCGTCTCACTATTTTTAAAATATACAAAGTATTTATTATGACGATAAATTTTCACTCTGTTCTAGTACTATGAACAACAAATTTATTTATTTTGTAAAACATATTTCCGTACTCCATGTACTCCTTACAACAAAATTATTATATTTACCTGTGTACGTTATTTTATAAACCGCCATTTTGTCCAAGGTTATAGTTGTCTTTCTGATATTGATTTACATATTCCCTCTTTTTTATTAATGGTGTATTAACATTGTGTCATATATCAAATTTATTCGTTCAGTGTAGGTTTACTTGTTTTTGTTACTATGTCTTTTGTTTGAGTAAAGCCATTCCAATTGATATTTTATAGGGTGTGTTTCTATGTTGTGATGTTACATTCAGGTAAAGGTGAAGGTTGGCGCCTGTTAAAACGTTTAAACACACACGTTGCATTTGTTTGCACCTGTCTTAAATCAGGAACCTGTTGTTCGGTGGTTGTCGTTTGTTAATGTGGTTCATATGTGTTTCTAGTTTCGACCGATTAGACCTTTGTTATTCCTGTTTAAATGGTTTTACACTAGTCAGTGTGGGGCGAAGTATGTTTTATATTGATTGTATGGCATTGATTCATCATAATTATGTTAGTTTCATTGGTTCCACAATTCTAATCCTGACATGTTGTTTTATTATCGAATTTAATCTTCACTTCAAGGTCTTGAAAGACAAATCCTGTGTTTGCGACCAAATGATCAGCATTTTGTACAGCTAGCAAAAACGATAGGAATTGGTGACTTCTACAATTTCTTTATAAACCTTGGCATGAAGAATGCTGATTACGATAACTTAAATTTCCGGTATTTCTCAAATCCAATGGACTTTATGTTAATGGGGCTATTTGAATGGAGAGATTCAACAGAAAGCGACAAATCGACAGCAACATTTGAGAAATTGCAGAAAGCTCTGACGGCCATTGACAGACAGCATTGTCTCTGTCAGGTAAGATTGTCAACTCCTTTTTTTTTATTTAATCTCTGATACTTTTATTCAAAGATAAACATGTACTTTATATCGCATAAGTTGTCTTGGTAATATCAATATGTATCCATGTGCTTTTTTTGTCTCCATAAATGTTTATTGGTAGGTTCAACGGTCCTTGTGCCGGTACAACATAATAGGCTGTTGATACAAAGGATCAAACAATTGAACAATACTTTGAAAGTGTTTTTAATAACAGCAAATAAATACAGTAAAAAAATGTTTAAAAAGAAGAAGAGCTGCAACCTGTGAAGCTAAACAACACTTAATAAATTTAACAATGTATAACAAAAATACCGAACTCCATTGCAAATTCAAGAAGGGAAAGTCCATAAGAAACTTGACAAAATCAAACGTTATCAACGGACCTAGTGAAAAATAACTATCTTATTCCTGACTTAATACACTCATGTTCCAAGGAACTAACGGAACTAGTGAGAAACAATTTTTACATTCTTGATTTCCTAGGAAAACGTTTGGTTAAATCTGGTTTTATAGTAAGTTAGATAATGTCGTCAACACAACAGTGTTTGTAGAGGATAGTATATTTACAATGACGCCGCTAAAGACTTTTTTTTGTTGTTGAAAGCACAGTTGGATGAGGACCAAGCATAACATGAAGTTAACACACGACAACGCCTCGTGGACATATTTTATTTGTTAGCTCAAATTTTCGCGTTATATATATATTTTTTTTTTCGTTTGGGCTTATATTATATTTGCCTTCGGGTTTATCATACTTTGACTCCTCAAAGTTCAAGAGTCTATCCTAAATTGAGGTAAATTGTATGGCTTTCCAAATATCGTATAATAAGAATTGTAAGGCGTCAAAAAAGGATGAACTGATCATATAAACCCGAAGGCAAATATAATACAAGCCCAAATGAAAAAATATAAACAAGTCTTAATTGAAAACAACGTCCAAACCTATGATTATATATTACACTAACGAGGTCAAAATGGAAATTGCTTATGTCTACTCGAGTAAATGCGCGTTTACTCTGTGTCCGTTTAGTCAGTAGTTGACGGGCGTTTACTACAGATTTTACATCTTTACATAAAATTGAGAATGGAAATGGGGAATGTGTCAAAGAGACAACAACCCGACCATAGAGCAGACAACAGCCGAAGGCCACCAATGGGTCTTCAATGCAGCGAGAAACTCCCGCACCCGGAGGCGTCCTTCAGCTGGCCCCTAAACAAATATGTATACTAGTTCAGTGATAATGGACGTCATACTAAACTCCAAATTATTCACAAGAAACTAAAATTAAAAATGATACAAGACTAACCAAGGCTAAATACTCCTGACTTGGGACAGGCGCAATAATATGGCGGGGTTAAACATGTTTTTTGAGATCTCAACCCTCCCCCTATACCTCTAGCCAATGTAGAAAAAACAAACGTACAACAGTACGCACAATACAACTCAGTTTAAGAGAAGTCCGAGTCCGATGTCAGAATAGGAAACAAAAAAAAAATAAACAAAATGACAATAATACATAAATAACAACAGACTACTAGCAGTTACTGACATGCCAGCTCCAGACCTCAATTAAATTGATTGAAAGATTATGTCTTCATCATATGAATATCAGACACAATCCCTCCTGTTAGGGGTTTATTATTATACCGTCACAAAATATATGAGAAGAGTATGTATGTACACTTAGAAAACACATGTTTTCTCTTCCCGTTAACTATTTGTGGAAATTATCGATATAACTTTTTTTTTCTTGTTAGAATGGTTTTTATTTTTAAAGTTTATATATAAAACTATAACTCTTTAAGTACGTTCTTTCAGATTATAATGGACTATATTAATCTTGATTTTTCAATGGCTTATTCAGGTTATTCATATGTCGCAAATGAAAAATAAATAAAGTATCGCTAAAAAATATTTTCTGAAATTATTTGAAAATCACAATATTTCAAAAACAGAAAGTTTTATATGTTAACAACAATATTAATAACGGGAGATTAAACTAGGCAATGCTTCAAGACTTCAAATAAAATTTCTATGACAATTTGTTTGTTGAAAAAATAAAACTGTATGTAGATGTGAAAATGATATTTAAAATGTACCAGTAGTAAGTGGTTAAATATTGACAACATTCTTTACGGAAAAGTTATCTTGGTCAGACTTCAAGAAATATCATGCATCTGAAATTTTTCTGTTAAAAAGGTTTTACGCTTCAGGAAGGAATGCTTGTTTTACTCATGTACGGTTTTGTATTTTCAATTAATTCAAAACGTGTCATGTGGGTCAATATGCGTAATTGATTTCACATAGGCGGTAATTGTAACGTTTTCTTCTGTAGCTCAGTCCATATCGTAAACTTTGATATGTATGATGGCTCGTTCGAAGCTGAGACATTTTCACATAATTATGTGATTAAAGTTTAGGGGTACGAAGTGCGAATCATTTTTCCGTAAATTAGCATACCCCGAAAAACCTGGATGCGGCTCCTCGTGGTAAAAAATCCCTTTTTTCACACAATTAGTGCTTTGAAAGTTCAATACTTTGAATACATTGAATAACTCCATAGTTTTTACACATTTCTAAATCAACACAAATGGTTAAGCTCAGTCACTTGTTAAAAATAGAAACATGTCTAATATCACTACACAGAGATTTTTTGTTTATGCACAACTTTTGAGTTCCTCAATTTAAGGCGCATTATGGATATTGACCCATATGATGCATTACTAATTTAATCTATATTTGCCGAAAAATGTCCAGTAAGACATTTTCACGTAGCTAGTCTTGTGATACAATTGGTCAGTGTATCCAGGATAATTGCAGCCAATGGCCTCTGTACCATTTTTAATATCTTGTATTTACTTTTGGCTGATTTTTTAAATGCATTCACTACTTTAAAAATGCTTTCTAACTAAAATAGTTATTATGCCATATAACAGAATTATAGAAAAGTTGAAACATGAAATTCATATCTGACGTTAGTACAAATTAAGTCGATTTTAATTCAATTTATACTATTTTACACGATTAGCAGCCATGTCAAGTTGGTTGGTTTTATCTGTTTTACCATTTTTGCTCTCGATCGTATATGTTAGCTCCTTCAGTGTTTTCTATTCTAAAATAACATCTGTCATATTACAGGTATACAGAGAAGACCATAGTTTAGTGGGTAAGTATAATTTATTTTTTTGTTCATTGATGAATCATAAATATTTGCAGATATCATTATTAATCTATGTTTTATAGCGCCACTTATTTAGATGTAGCATGTGTTTGCAAGGTGTAAACTATTTCAACCTGGTATGGATGACCAGTATTTTCATCAAGGTAAAAAAAAACTATCAACACATTGAAATGGAGATTAATTTTGTTCGTGTTTTAACACTACCTTTACACTATTGAATGAACATACTTCTGTTTACATTGTGAGCGTTAGAACTTTTTCTCGAATTACCTTTATCTATCAATTATAAATAATATTATCATATACATAAGTAACGAACGTTTACATTTTATGGTAAGATAATAAAATACAGTTTACTCAAATATTATAATACCGGGCTAATATAGAAACATTATAAAATACTTCCCGTTAAGTATCGCATGTACATTTGTAACGTTCTCGTGTTACATTCGCCGCAACTCGGAAAGTTTTGGACATATATTTCTACTGTATAATAATAATAATAATAATAATAATAATAATAATTATAATAATAATAATAATAATAATAATAACAATGAAAATAATAATAATAATAATAAAAATAATAATAATAATAAAAACTAGATTGCCATTGCAAGCAATAGCGGACGGCACCCATTCCCATTGTCACAGTTACGGCAGCCATTTTGAAAATGCCAAAGTCAAATACCACGTCTACACATGCCAGTTAACATTTCTGTAAAGTTTCATTAAATTTGGAGTATTTTGAAATTTTTGAAAATATTTGTGTTTCAGTGGTACATGTGGTAACGGTGGCCATTTCCAAAATTCGAAAGACAGATGAGGCATTGACATATGCCATGGTACATATCCATAAAGTTTCATTGAGTTTTATTGAATATTCTTTAAGAAAATGCTGCTTTAATGTGTTTTTCCATTTGGTCAATGTTAAACCTTTCCCCCGTTTCCATGGCAATGGCAGCCATTTTTGTATTTCTAACTACTGTTGGGCACCACTGGCAACATTTACATAAAGTTTCAATAGGTTGGTTCTTATAACAAAAGATTTAGGATTTTTATTTTTTTTTAACATTTTTTTCTGTTTCAATGATAACCGTGGTTATCTTGCACATTCCAAAGTCAGGTGCACAACTTCACATGATGGTCAACATTATAGCATAGTTCCATCAAGATTGGTCCATTCAATTTCGAGAACTGGCGTGGAAAAAATGTGTGGAAGAATAAAAATAATAACTAGATTTGTAGTTGCTAGCAATAACGGATGGCATCCTTCCCAAATTGCCAGGCGATTGGCAGCCATTTCGAAAATTCCAAAGTCAAAGAGCACATCTTCCAAAATTCCAAAAGCAGACGCCACATTGACACATGCCATTTTACATATCAATACAGTTTCATTGATCTCTATGTAATATTCTTTAAGAAAATGCAGCTTTTATGTATTTTTCCATAGGCTCAATGTTGAACTTTCGCCCTGTTTCCATGACAATGACGGCCATTTTTGAACTTCTTAACATTGCATGCACATATATGCATATCAGGTAACACTTCTATAAAGTTTCATCCACTTGGGTTTTTAAATGATGGATTTAGAACTTTGAAAATTTTTCACATTTTTGCAGTTTCCATGGAAACGGTCGCCATCTTGAACCATTCCATGCTTCGTGCACAACTTCACATGGGGGTTCTCAATATAGTAGAGTTCCATCAACATTGGTCAATTGGATTTCGAGAAATCGCGCGGACAAAATGTGTGGAAGAAAAATAATAATATGAAAAAAAAGAAACGTAGGTTAACAATACTTAACTTCAACTCCGTTGAGGGTGCCATAACTAGATTTTAATTGCGAGCAATAATGGATGAAACCCTCGTCCCCCAATTGCTAGGTTAACGGCAGCCTTTTTGTCATATGTCAATTAACATTCTTGTAAAGTTTCATCAAGTTTGGAGCATTTTGAGTTTTTTACATTTTTGCTGTTTCCATGGTAACCGCGACCATTTCGAATATTCCAAAGACAGATGCCACATTGGCACATGCCATGTTACATATTTATAAAGTTTTCTTGGGTTTGATGTAATTTTCATTCAGAAAATGCTGCTTTATTGTTTTATCCCATAGGGTCTTTGTTAAACATTCGCCCTGTTTCTATGAAAATGGCAGCCATTTTGGAATTCCTAATATATTGTCTGCACATCTAGGTATACCAAGTAACATTTCCGTAAAGTTTCATCCAGTTGGGTCTTATAATAAAAGATTTAGAATTTTGAAATTTTTCGCATTTGAGCTGTTTCCATGGCAACGGCAGCCATCTTTACGATGCCGTAACCCGATTGCAAATCTGCACATGGTGGTTAACATTATTATATAGTTCCATCAAAATTGGTTCATATAGTTCCAAGATATAAGCTGGACAAAAAAAGTGGAAGAAAAAGTTAACTAGATTTGCTATTGTAAGCAATAGCGGAGGATGTCACCTTGTCCTTGACATTGTCACAGAAGCAGCAACCATTTTGAATGTACCAAAGTCAAAGTGCACATATATTATACATGCTGGATTTCGCATGTCTTTGATCCCCCCGGCCGATTTTTTTCTCTTCCCGTAGAATAAGTTTGAGTTCTATACATAGTTTGGGAATTCTATAGAATCTAAAATTAGACCCACGCGCGAGGAAGAACGTGGCGTCACGTGATGCGCAAGTATATTATCGTGGACTTATATTTATAGTCTTTTTAGACGGGACCTTGGGACAGACAACATGTGTATATATTGATGTTAACAACAGCTTCAACATTGACTTATGCCATGTTTAACATTTATAAAGTTTAACTGAGGTTAATTAAGGATTCTTAAAGAACATGCTACTTTTATGTTTTCTCCCATAGGGTCAATGTTAAACTATTCCCCCGTTTCCATGGCAATGGCAGCCATTTTGGAATTTCTAAGTACTGTTGGTACCTCGGGGCACCACTGGCAACATTTGCATAAAGTTTCATTCGGTTGGCTATAATAACGAAAGAATTAGTATTTTGATTTTTTTTACATTTTATATGTTTCCATGGTAACAGCGGCCATTTTGAACCATTTCAATGTCTCTTGCACAACTTCACATAATGATTCACATTATGTTTTACTTCCATCAACATTGGTCCATCCAATTCCGAGAAATACCATGGACAAAATTTGTGGAAGAATAAAAATAAGAAAAACTAGATTTGCCATTGCAAGCAATAGCGGATGGCACCCTTCCCCCATTGCCAGGTGAGTGGCAGCCATTTTGAAAATTCCAAAGTCAAAGAGCGCATCTACAGATGTCTATTAACATTCTTGTAAAGTTTCATAAATTTTGGAGCATTTTGAAATATTTGAATTTGTTGTTATATTACCCGTTACCATTTCCAAAATTCAAAAGACAGGTACCACTTTTGGACATGTCATGTTACATATCCATTAAGTTGTAGAAGGTTTGATCTAATATTCTTGCAGGAAATGCAGCTTCAATGTGTTTTCCCATAGGGCCAATGTTAAACTTTCGCCCTGTTTCCATGACAATGGCGGCCATTTTGGAATTTCCTAATATTGTCACAACATCTAGGCATACCAAGGAACATTACCATAAAGTTTCATTCAGCTAGGTCTTATAATGAAGGATTTAGAATTTGCATTTTTTTTCACATTTTATTAGTTTCCATGGCAACGGCAGCCATCTTGATGATGCCATACCCCGATTGCACAATTTCATATAGTGGTCCTCATTATGGTATAGCTCCATCAATACTGTTCAAGCCAATTCTGAGAAATAGCATGGACAAAAAAGTGTGGAAGAATAAATATAACTAGATTTGCCATTGCAAGCAATAGCGGATGTCACTCTTCCCCCATTGCCACTAGATTGCAGCCAGTTTTAAAATTTTAAACAGTGAATGCACATATATACTGATGGCTATATATCTTTCTGTAATTTTTTAGAACATATAGCGGATTTACAAATTTAACGCATAATTTTTCCTTTTTTGCCTTGTGTCCATGGTAACGGCATCCATTTTGGACATTCAAACGCCAATTGCCGCTTCCACACATGACAGTCAACATTATTGTGAAGTTTCATTAAGTTGGAAGCATTCTGAGATTTTTGAAATTTTTGCTCCTGTATCCATGGTAACATAGTAGTTCCAATGATTGTCAAATCATTTAAAACCTGTATATAATGAACAACTATATTGTATAAAAATTTGATGATTTTAAGTTAAAGCATACCAAAATTATTCACCAAATCCTGAAGTTTTTGGAGCATTTTGCCCTTTTTGCATTGTTTCAATGGTAGCAGCAGCCATTTTGGAAATTCTAACTCCAAATGCCACATCTTCCAATGTTGCTCATCGTTACTGTGAAGGTTCATTAAGTTTGGAGCATTTTGATATTTTTGAAATTTTTGGTTTAGTTTCCATGACAACATAGTATTTCCAATGATTGCCAAAATCATCCAACAAGAGTATATAGTGGGCACCTACATTGTGTTAAAATATAATGATTCTAAGTTTAAGCATATCCAAATAGTTCACCAAAACTAAAAACTGGATTTTTTCACATTTGTTCCGTTTCCATGGTAATGGCAGTCATTTTTTATGTTCTTAAGACCTACTGCAACCCGAAATTTTGTGTTCCTCATTATAGTGAACTATCATTAAGATTGGTTACATTGGCTCCAAAAAAACTGCCGGACAAAAATCATTGGAAGAATAATAATAATAACAAAGAAACAGAGGAAAAGCAATATGTCACCCGACATTGTCGATCGGGTGACATAATAATAAGAAAAAAAGAAACGAACAATAACAATATGTCACCCCAACTCCGTTGAGGGTGCCATAACTAGATTTGCAATTGCAAGCAATAGCGGATGGCACCCTTCCCCCATTGCCAGGCGAACGGCAGCCATTTTGAAAATTCCAAAGTCAAAGAGTGCATCTACACATGCCAATAAA